TTTATAATAAGATTTAAAAATTTTCATGTTCATTTTTTCGTATACGTATGTTCAATACAAGTGGTCGCCGTTTTGAAGAAGTGACACTTGTAACATGCCAACCATTCCTTCTCAAAAATAAGTAGAGCAATTTCATTTTATTGGGGGGGGGGTTGGCTCTGGGGGAAATCGCATACTATAACTACTACACAGAGTACGATTTCCCCCCGAAAATTGACTCTAGTGTGGAATTTCCGTAGGGGAAATCATAGAGCCTGTTTTCCGGGGGTCCTACTATAGAGCCAGTTTTCCGGGGGGGGGGGTCTATTCTAGAGCCAGGGAAAGATATTAGGGGGAAAGTCTAATCTATAAGACCGGTACATGTTTATTATTTTTTTCTTTAAGTATACCTGAGAAGTGCATTTAAGGTTCCTAAACCCTCTGCTTGTTCGTATAAAATGTTGTTGAACTTTAAAAGTACTTGGACACAGATTTGAAGTTGTTATTTTCTCTATAGTATTACGACTTATATATTTTAATAGCATTTCACATAAAAATTAATTAAAAATCTTATTTCGTTTAAAAGATATTGAAACACGTTCAAAAGCAAAACAAACACACAATCTATTGTCAGTCCGTGCAGTTGTGGTAAGCAGACTGTGACGATTGAACGCACCCCGGTGAATTCTAAATATAAACAATAACAGAACTCGAGCCCTGTTTACAAAAACTGTGTACATAACACGAGTGTGCTCGATTTGCTAAACTCTGTACGCATCTCTTAGTTCGGAATGACGATATTTGTGAAGGTGTTTTGCTTTCTAACATTTCTACTCTGAATAAAATTATTTTTCTTGATAAAAGTTTTGATATTTCTCATTAAAACACATCAAAATTGCCACTTTTCCTAAGGACTAAGAATAAAGTTAAAATTTGTGAAAGTGCAAGGATGTGTCAATCAAACCCGCCAAAAAATTTAAAGTTTTAATAACTTTTAAATGAAATAAGATTTTTAATTAATTTTTGTGTGAAATGCTATTGAAATATATAATTCGTGATATTATACAGAAAAAATGATAAAATATTAACTTCAAATCTGTGTCCAAGTACCTTTAACGATTTTCCAAAAGAAATGTATTCTAAAAGTAAAAAAAGAAACAATTATAGCATACCTTGCCTGAAAAAAAATTGACAAAAAAAAAAAAAGTTTAACTTGGTAAATCAATAAAGGAATAATAGACATTTATATCATTTTAGGAGTTATCTGTCTTACATGTAACAGAGTATCAATGAACCTTAAATTAGAAATTGAAGATTAATTGATAATTAAATTGCATGTTCTTTTCAAGAACAAAGGACGATAATAATCTGCGAGTCTGATGACGGGGAAATCCGCTGTGAAAGCCCCAAAACACTCAAAATTGAGTCCGCCATTTTTGGTCGCACCGAACCTGAAGCTGTTGTGTGTCCATTTACTGGAACAAGTCTGGACAATACAAACTGCCGATTAGATGTGCGTGACCAGTTATCCGGCAGTTGTGATGGTGAAACCCGCTGTCCTATTCCGACTGAACTGCAAGACTTTCCTGGCGCTGCGGATCCTTGTGTGGGAACGTACAAATACGTTGAGGTTACTTACACCTGTTCTTAAGTAGTGAATCTACAGTATGTAAGAACATGAGATGAAGTATCTCTAAATAAAACATCTTTCTGTGAATTTTCCATACTTCCTTTTTTGTTTTAACATTTTTTGAATCCTTTTATAGAAGAAATATCTGAATTAATGACTACAGTTTGTTGTCTTAATTTCAATTTGTCTCGAGAAACAAATGTAACGCTCACAACGTACGTTCATATGAAATCACTAATCGTTTTATTGACCGACACTATTTCAAAGTTTCAAAAATCAATAATTTTATTGTGTTGTTATAATGTTCTCTTAAGTTTTAAAATCGGCATGGAAAGTCAAATTTTTTAATCATTAAATGCGAGACAAGCAAGTTTTTTTCGTACACGGACCGAATATAACTAAGGTCGAATCAACTTGTTACCGCTAATTTACACGCGAAAGTTCGAAAACTGAAGAGCGAAGTCAGAAGTGAAATTTGGGAAATGGCGATGAAATATTTATTTATTATGCAGTCTGGGAGAACATTTGTATGCCATTAGGTCTTTCACATGTCTTTTTAGACGATATTTTTGGTAAGAATCTTTGATATAAATTAAGTTTAAAAACATTGCACATGTTGAACCACTGCAAAAATCGTGAAATATCAATGATCAACATACATACATGTATCAGCACATGCACCTGAGCCAAATATCGAAAAATTCTATCTCTCTCTATAGAGAGAGAATTTTTCGATATATGGCTTATAATTATAGCGACTTACTGATAAAAATTCAGGTGCCTGTGGTATCAGCAATGTGGTACCAGCAGTATGCTGTGGTTCTTTCTAGCGTTTCACAGTCCAGTCCAATACGAAAAATCGTAATGTTACGAAATATCGTAATATTATTCTTATATTACTGTTTTTCGTAATATAGTTACATTACGGAAACTCGTAATATAGCAAGTTGAGAAAGACTATATTACGAGTTTTCGTAATGCAAGACAAAAAAAAGCATTGAAAGAAACTGAATGATGTTTATGGAAGTATGACGTCAGAAATACATTATGCCCCAATGGTACTAGTATCACGTGGTCATTTTGGTCAGTGACGTCTATCGAAAAGTATGGAAATGCAAGAAGAAAGTAAGAATGGTAATGGGTGAGTGAACATTTTGTTTTATTATTCTTATATAAGAATTTTCCCAAGGATAGGAACAATTTTCCATAAAATTTCAATGTATCCTCAAGCTTGTCACAATGGTCTATAATCCCCGAATTCCCTATATTTTTCCCGAAGTCTACCCTGAAAATCAGACCCTCATCTCAAACAACGAGATTTTACGAGAGATAACTTGTAAGACCCTCACTATGCTCTGAATCCGCTTGCACTTGGATCAAATGTACCAAAACAAAGAAAATACACTAACCAAACATATCCACGATATCATAATGATGAAACAAGAGACCAATAATCTCTGATGAAACATAACAAAGAGGTTGTATCAGAAAAAAGGGAAGTAACTCTTAGAAGAGTTAGAAATTGCTTATATTACGAATTTTAGTAATATTACGATTTTTCGTATTGGACTGGACTGTTTCAAGCAAGGAAAGTGATAAAAGTTCTTCTTCATTTTAATGGTAGTTATGACAAAAATAATATCTAATTCGATAAGAAATAATTTTCTGCACATGAAGTTTATGCTTTAGCTTAATCATATTGCTACTTTAATCCGAAATTCCTCTATTTATTTTCTCATGCTACAAGTATACGTTGTGACAGATCTCAACTCTACCCCTCAAACAGGGTTTTTATGCCACTGTTTTGTATAAGTACAGGGGCTGGATCATTATAATTTTGAGAATTAGTAGATTTAGGGGGGAATACATGGAATAGTATACATGTAATTAACACACATCCATTGAAATATCCAGGGATTCATGCAATTTTACCATACATGTAGTTATATGTAGACTCAAAATTTTAAGGATATAGTGTATTTATCGCTTATGGATATCATATCTTCATGTACTTTCAGATTACTACTATCCTATTGAAATGTGAAATGGAGTAATAATTTGTGTATTTCTTCATTGAATAAAGAGACATGTCATCTTTAACTGAAGAACAAAAGAGGCGAATCGAGGAAAATAAAAGAAAAGCTCTGGCTAAAAGGGCTGAAAAACGAAGTCCAGTAAAATGCGGTATTCAAAATCAAAAACAGCGAATTGAAGAGAATAGGCAAAGAGCTCTGGCTCTTCGAGCTGAAAAACATAGTCCAGTGAAAGATTGTCAGTTTAAATCTGTGAACAATTCCACAGGAAATGAAAGGAACGGTACTACATCCCAGATGACTAGCTCATCTAGTACATTTTATAATCAACAAACATGTGCCCCTAATTCTGTTAAGCAGAGACTAGCGGACTCATACAAGGACCCCGTTGCTCTAGGACAAAATAAAAACACTGTGAAAAGTGGGATTCCATGTAATAGTTACTCGAGATCTAATAACACTGGAGACTCAAACAATAACAAGACTAATGCCTCAAACACAGGACTAGCAAATAAATTTAAGACACAGGGAAATCAGTCGAAATTCAATAAGCCTGTGTCGCAAGGGTCCAGTCAAGATGCTTCCGAGGAAAAGTTAGCCAAGATCACAGAGTGTATTGCTTCGTCGGGGGGATCCACACAGACCACCCTGGGGGGAGGGACCACTGCCAAATGTCTCCTGATCTCCAGAGAGAGGTTTGAGGTCACCGCAGGGTATTACCCACCCCTCATTGACTTGTTTAAAACCATTGCAACCAAAAAATATGGTGAGTATTGTATTAAAAATAAAGTAAGTAAGCATTATCATGATTATCAATGAAAAGTTTCTGAAAATATTAAGGATTTTTCTGACATTTGAAATACATATTTGATTACAGGTTAAAGATCAACAAACTTTCAATTTCTTAGAAAAAGAATTATTTTGATGAATTAATTTATCTTGGTTTATATAGTGTAGCTCTAATCTATATTAAAATCTTTTTTGAATTGTGTAGATGCTGTTACCAGGAAGTGGTCCTTTAAGTTAGAGGATTACCATAAGCTTGGTAAGTTTCTTACAGCACTTGACCTTTGTTAAAGAGGCTAGGAGTTTGGGGTGGGTGGGGGGGTGGGTGGGTGGTTGGGATTAAATTCTTGCATGATTAACCCACCAGAAATAACTTTTCAAGGATTTTTATTTTAACTTCATTTTCTGTCTTTTGGTCATCAATATTTTCTTTGTTCCATTTGAAAACATCCTACCAGCAATTTTGTTTGATATAAACAATGTGATCATGGCTAATGGTTATCATGGTTATTGAAAGTTACCTATGAACATTCATGTATGTACATGTATATTTGGATTGCATGTACATGATTTTTGTGTACACATTACATTTAAAATCAAGGTACGAAAAGTAAATATTTACTGTAACGATGGACTACACATGACAAGCAAAATCTGTATTTTGTTTTTGGCATCTCCCTTTGTCATATTTAAAATTTTGCTTCACGTCCCTGTGTTTTATAGTTGCAGCGATGAGGTCCATGAGTCCTCAGGTCAAGCTAGTTACCCTTCCTCAGGCCATACTCTCAACCTTCCAGCAGCAACTTAAGGGCATCTACCCCGACAGAGAAATCCCAACTGCCAATCTGGACAATCTGGATCAAAGTCTCGTCAACTCTTTACTGCCTTTCCAGAGAGAAGGTGTTAAGTATGTATTTCAAAGAATTTGATTTTTTTTAAGTCAGTACCAGAATATGTTATTTTTCTGTCCAATACATCAATTATTTTTAGTGGATATGTATTTTCTTCAATACCCTTAAGGCCCACCCTTGAAGAGGAAAGAAGTTCAGATAAACAAACACCAGTCCTATATAAATTCTGAGGTCAATCTATCAATGATAAAGGTTATTTTATGAAAAAAAAAACCACCAAAAATACAACTGAAATTTTGGCAACAACTTACGGACAAGTCATGCCTTAATTCACAGTAATAAGAACATGTAAATGTATCAGATCAATCTTTTCTTTAATCAGGAAGTTTGAAATTTTGACCTTTTTCAGTTTTGGAGTCCACAAACAAGGTCGAGTTCTGATAGCTGATGACATGGGTTTGGGTAAGACGATCCAGGCGATCTGTTTAGCGTGTTACTATAGGAATGAGTGGCCCCTCCTCATTGTGGTTCCCTCCTCCGTCAGATTTGACTGGGCTCAGGTATGTGGCTGTTCTGTGTGGATCATCAATGTTACTTTGGCTGAATTTGTATTTGATATAGCTGGAACAAAACAATTTGCTCTAAAAAAAAAAAGAGAAGTCTGAAATTGTGTTCCCTAGCGATAATTCTAGAGGTGTCATGTCCATACAAAGGATCATATAATCATATATTTTGAGATCTTCTGTTAATTAGCTGTAGTATTTGTAATAGCAATGATTTTCCTAATCTCTGAGCTGAAAGTCTTGCTAGAGCAGGTGTAGTTTTGTTTTTTCACACTTTTTCTCCAAGTGCATAAGTGCATTCCAAAATGTCATAATCAAGCCCCAAATTAATTGAACTAATATTCTTTCGAAAGATCCAAGGTCCATTTGAAATATGTTGATATAAACACAGACTGAAAATACCTATCTTAGTACATTGAGTTGTGTGCTTTAAAACAATTATTTTTTTTTTACTTTTTATAAAACTAAAAAAATAATTTTTAAATGGTAATTACGCATTGAGGGAAAAAAATCTCCTTAAATCTGTTACACTTCTTTGTAATTTGCTTTTTATAATTTTAGCAACTAGAGCGCTGGGTACCCAGTCTGGATCCACAGGAAGTTTACGTTGCCATGACAGGGAAATGTAGCCTATCAGGTCACAAGGTCTGCATCCTTAGTTACGAACTCATGGCCAAGAAAGCCAAGGAACTCCTAGAGAAGAACTTCAATGTTGTCATCATGGTAAATATCTCAAGATGGAAAACTATTTTAGGTTAAATCGTGTGATGATATGAAATTTTACACTCAGTTTGAAAGTTGGTATAAGTACAATTTAAAGGTCAAGTATAATATTTTTGTGAAAATTCATAATTATTCATTATTTTCAGCCTCTGGAGCAATGTGAATGACATTCTGGGGTCTATTTATTTTTTTGTCACTAATTTCCATCACTAATAGTCGTTTAAACTTACCTGTGTGACAAGTGGATCATTTATTGTAAATCGCTTATCTCCCTTGTTGCGTGACGTCATCAGAGACAGCGTGAGATAGGAAGTGCATGCTATATTGCCGTGTTTGGAACATTATTGTTTGCGAGATGTTGCCATGTGGGCTTTTAACTGTACCAATAAATCGGAACAAGACATGAGCGTATATTTAAATTCTTACGCACCTGAAATTGAGGGAAATATGGACATTCCATTTAAAAAGAGATGGTTTTGAGCCCAGTAAACACGAAACACTATAAATATGTGCGACATTTTACATAGACCAGTTTAGGCTACATTTTAATAAATTATAAATTATCTCACGAATTTCTTGGTTTTATTTCAAATTTAAATTGCATTTTTCAATTTGACAGTTTAGGTATTTATAGCCACAATACAGATTTTAGGGAAAGTTTTTTTTTCTTGAATTCTTGTTACAGTACTCAACAAGATCACAAGTACCTGACGATTGGTTCATGTACTTTGCCCCTTCCCCCCTACTGAAAATAAAACTAAGCAAAATATACCTGAATTCCTTGTCCGTCAAACCAATACTTCGATATTTTATATTATTTTCCGCTTTTGTCAAGTTTTAGAGATTGGCCCTTTACATTAGAGCATGCACTCGGTATATATAATTATATGACTGAACATTACGCGGCGCCAAGTCAAAAGTACATGTATTTCGGCGTAAACCTCTACCATGCTGGAGTAAAAAAAAAACTAGCTATTTTCATATACTGTGAAGGAACAATCTCCAAAACTTGACTGACAAAAAATGGAAGGTGTGGTGTAATAGACAAGGAATTTATTATCTGCCAAGTTATCGTGTCTAAAAAAAAAAATCTCAGTTGGAATGGGGTATGTCCCGGAAATCCCCCCTCTAAATCCGCGCATGATATATGTTTCCGAAAATACTTACTTAAGAATGCATTCATTTACTTCCAGTTGTCCTTTTTCTAGAAAATTTTTATATTAAAATTGTTTCCATTACATATTTATTCAAACAATAAAACCTCAGTGTTCATGCACACAAGTGATTGTTCCTCAATTTTCTGCCCGCAGATTTGTTTTCCTCCAGCACTTATTTTCTCTTGTGCTGGCGTCTTGAAATAGTTACCACAAGAGCATATGAAATCAGAATGAATACTTAAAATAGTTTTGTTTTCTTTTATCTAAACTAAATTAGGGTGAAATAATGCATATTAAAATATTTTTAGAATGAAAGCGTTTAAATACTAGTATGTGACAAAGATTTTCAGGCCTGTATGAAGCAATTAATATTCGTTGAGGGGGACAACAAAGAAATGTTACTTCGGGAGGGGGGGGCAAATCAAAATTACTTGTTACGCATAAATTAAAAAGGTTCCAAACAAATGTTTAGCTACCACAGGTGCTTAGGGACGGGGAAAATTCATACCCTCTGATACTACATAGAACGTTCTGTTTTAGTATCAGAGGGTATGAATTTATAAAAGGCTTAAACTAGCCTTCTTTCCCCTTAAATTTTGGATTTTTAGGTTGTAATACTTTATGAATATATCACAGGAAAATATTATTTTAAAGTAAAAAAACCCAATGGGGTACGGAACAACCGAGGGGGGGGGGGTTCCAAGCACCTGTGATAGCTACATCTTCGGATTCCCACGGATGATATATATCCGACGATGACGTAATTTCTGTTGTTCCGTTCATTGTTCATTATAGTACACTTAACATAAAAAAAATCGCCGTGTGCCCAGTTCAAACGGCTATGCAATGTAAAAAAAAGAATTCTATACTTTTTCACTATGTAAAAGTCCTGGTCCTATATGATGAATAAGAAACAACACATAAAATCAATTTTCCGCAGTTAAATATTTTTTGCAGAAATATTGAGCACACTCAGTAAAAGGCATTAAAAACAAATTACATGTATGTACATTCGTTAGCTTCTGCGATGATCCCTTGTCAGTTGTGTTATTTTAATTTCCACTTTCACCCTTACCGGCTTCGGACAAAACAGAATCGGTCAAAGAAGAATAATCAATTTGCGTACTTCCTTGACTCAAATATACAAAGCCTATTCTTCACAGACAGATCTACGCATAACTCTGATATATCAACATTTCTGTTCCCCAAAATTTGCCATAATTTTAGATAATCAATAGCACTTTTTACTGTACTTATGTAACTAGATTTTGTCGAGTGTCTCTAATGACGTCATAAAAAGGGGAAGTAACTCTATTGACGAACGTTATTTTTAGCGATATTTGAACAGGTAAATAAAGAAAACAACGAGGTTTAAAATTAAATGAAATTTGTAATTCCTTCTTTTTAACCATTGTTTACAACATATATTATATACAAGTATATCTATTTCCTTGATATTTGACCTTTAAACATTTCCCTTATTGAATTCTAGCTCATTTAAATGTACATGTATTTTTTAATCATTTAAAGCATAAAATGCTACATTACAAATTTAGTGTAAGTAGGGGACTTTCGATGTGCTGTTAGCTTAACAAGTTAAATTGCAATATGACGATTATTTTAGCACATTGCTAACTTCATAGCCTTGAATATCATTAACATGCACACATAAATCTGCAATAAAAGTGTACATATGTAAAATGCAAAAAAAAAAAAAAAAAATTGTACAGGTCACAACAGAAAATTCAACTTGATGACTTACGTGACTGTGTACATGTATAATAATATGCTGCACTCTGGATAAAGGGCAATAACTCTTAATTACAAACGAATACATTCATGGACCAAAACTAAATTGAAGTAAAATGGATTTTGGTAATTTATACTGTAGCCTTATTAAAATGCATAATTCATTCAGATTCAAATACACGTTTACTTTCAAAGTATATTATTGAAATATAACTTTATTATGAATTCATTTGCATTTTTACATGTCTTAATTAGGATGAATGCCACTTGTTAAAGAATTTCAAAACAGCAAGATGTAAAGCAGCCATGCCAATTCTTAAGGTAGGTTTAATAAAAAGTGCAGAGTAAACCTTCTCAGTTCTCTTACTGTAAAACTTGTTTCAAGCTGTCCTTTTATATCAATACATTTTCATTAATTTACATCTCAGTAGCTTCGTTGTGACATCAAAACTGTGTTTCAGTGGAGCCTTTGTAATTCTGAAACATGTGTTCTGGAAAGAAATTTCTGGGTTTATGAATTTTTCAGATTTTTGAAATTCTCTTGCTTTTTTGAAAGGTATGAAAATAATAGAGGATATTCAATGTTTTGTAGTTGAATATGGAATTTATTTCGCAAGTGGGACAGGATTCTTGATATTTTCACGAGTGCGAAGCACGAGTGAAAATATCAAAAAATCCTGTCATATTCAACTACAAAACACTGAATTTTCTGTTTATTACGTTAAAAAAAAAATCTTTAATTTTTCCTTTGCCTCTGTCTTTTTGTTATACTGTAGGCTCGTGATGTCATAGTTGAGCGGTTGAGACGTCATAGCTATGTGAGGTGAAAATACTGTAAACATGGATTTAGCAACATATTTTTCGTAATTTTGACACTTTTATTCGCTGTCAGAATGGTTTCTTTATTTCCACCTGTCTTATATTAGGTCAAGGAAGATTTTTATTAAAACAATCTTCGTTATGGGAAGGGAAATCAAGAGTTTTCCCGCACTTTTGATATTCGTCACAATGTAACAAGATATCATTTTGATATCCTTTCACACCGTGACAGGATATCATTTTTATTCAATGAATAAATTACAGTATTTCATGGTTAAAAATGTAATAAAGTTGTGTCTTTACTTTGCAAAAAGAACTCAACTTTAGATTCCTGGAGCTCTGCTGCATAATGTATTAATAGGCATGAATTTATACTTAAATGTATAAAAATGACATTTAATTCAATTTCATTGTTGATTTATTACTTTTTATTGTAGGCCTCTAAACGTGTGATCCTTTTGAGTGGAACTCCTGCACTATCTCGGCCCCAGGAACTTTACACCCAGATCTGTGCAATCAAGCCCTATATGTTTCAGTACCAGGATTTTGGGGTTCGCTACTGTGATGGGAAAAAGGTGGGTAGTAAATTTTAGCTGTAGCTTAATTATCATAAATGATACTTATTCTAAGTGAAATTTTTTTAAAAAATTTAATATTTAAATTAATAGAAATTGGATATTTTATAGGATACATTAAAAAGTAAGGCGAGAGGAAAGTATTGACTCTACTATTGTCTTTATTTTCAGAATCCTTGGGGTTGGGATTTCTCGGGATCTTCCAACATGGAGGAGCTACAAATTCTGTTGGAAGAAAGCATTATGATCAGGTCAGTCTAGAATGATGTCTTATTTTAAAAGAATGGTATAGGTACTGTAAACCAACTTTTATTCGCTTGCGAGAAATTTTCGCGAAGTTCGCAAGAGTTTCGTCATCGCGAATTTTTTTTACCGCGAACAGATCCAAAGTCTATATGCCTATTAACAACATATCCAAAATCGGCTTGATCGCGAAAATTAATCGTCACAAACTAGTTTACCCCCGGTAAATCGCGAAATAAAGTCGTCGCGAATAAAAGTTGGTTTACAGTATATTTACTTAGTAAAATACCTTATAAGCAGAATTCTTGGCAAGGATGTAATTTAGGCATTATAAGCAAGGGTGCTGAGATTGCTAAAATACAGTTTTGCATTAGATTTTTATGTTCTTGGGTGTGTTTCAGGAGATTGAAGAAGGATGTGCTGACCCAGTTACCAGACAAGGTGAGACAGATGGTGCTGTTAGATCCCGGGTCCGTAAAGACCACCAAACAAATGGAGCAACAGAGCAAGACCATGGAGCTCAAATCTCTCAAAGTAATATAAATATTCATTACAACAGGGGCGTAGCAACAGGGGGGCCTACCCCCCCCCCCCCCACTTTTTTTCCCAACTTTACCTTTACTATTGAAAATGTCCATTGTAAGGTTGTTTGGCCCCCCCCACTTCTTACCACAGTATAATGATATGAAGGAAAATATAGTGGTATGTGCAAAAAAATTGGAAGTGAAAGGAAGTTGGCCTAGAAAAAAGTTTTTTTTTTTGTTTGTCAACTTTTACAGGTAAGATAAAAAAAATTTCTCTGGTTGGCCCCCCCCCCCCACTTTCAAAAACGATGCTACGCGCCTGTACAAGGCTACATTGAATGCTTGTTTTTAGCTCTACAGGCCAGAGACCAGTTTCAAGTCCCAACTGCTACTTTTCTCTTCCTATAAGTCCAAAGTAGAGCTACAGTCTGGACAGAAACTTCTGGTCTCCCATTATTATAAGCATTTGCCATTGCGCTATCCTACATACATGTATGTATCACCTTTTAATACTCAAATGAGACAATGAATATGTTTTCATTATGTTATAATTTTTATACAGGGAATGGAAAGAAGAGGAGCTCTTTTGGAGTATTTCCATCATACAGGGGCAGCCAAAATTAAAGCTATCAAGTAAGATCTGATCTCTATATGCAGGCAAAAGTTGTTTGTATGTAAATTCCCTCCTGAGAATTTTTCACTCATATGGAGATGCCACCACTTGCTGGTGGAGAGCTGCAAATTTTGACGTAAGCTAAAATAGCACTTGGTTCCATTGAGCAGTTAGGAGTGTTTTTTGTGCCAGCACCTACTAGGACAAGGGACATCTGTTTATACTGTCTGATTCAAAGGACCAGTCTCCACATCTCACAATGGGATTTGAACCTGCTCCATAAGGACCAAACCTCTTGCTTTGCGACTTGATCAAATGCTCTTACTGCAGCACTACTCTCAGGCAAAAGTAAAAAGTAAATATTTCAAGTTATTCTATTGAATGAAATGTCAGATGACCTTTTTAAGGTCATGAGAGTGACTAGAGTGACCTGATGCTATTTGTTTTAATCTTTCAACGTCCATCAACATCTTCATCCCTGGAACAGCGGATGCAATTTTAACCAATTTTGGCTAGGAAACAGAAATATTTTTTATCTTTTGGCATCCTTGGGGATTGAAACCTGCGACGTTAGGATAATTTTTTTGCTCTGCAGCCCTTCTAGAGTAAAACACATTATTTCCTGTGTAGCTTGTAACACGAGCTTTGATTGGTTACAAAGTCGGATGTAAATATCAGTGAACCCGACTTAAATCGGGTGTAAATAAAATGTGACGTCACAATGCATACTTTCTCTATGATAACAACCAAATAACATGACGTCACTATATACACTGTAGGACGTTGTAAATCATACATCGATAGTTTGATACAGAGTTTTATGAAGAATTATTTGGGTACATGGGAAATAAATTCGTTATCCAGGTCCTATCAAGGGTGAACCTTGAATTACCACAGGTTGTATTCCATACACCCTTTGGCCTTAGGGTGTAGGGAATAAAACCTGGGGTAAATCCCCGTACACCCTTGATTGAACCTGGATAACTAATAAAGCCTTGTAGTTATCTCAGAAAGGGTTTTAAATTGAATGATAATTTGTTTCCTTATTTACAGAGACTATGTTTTGGACTTGTTGGATTCAGACAAAAAGTTTTTGATCTTTGCTCATCACCAGGAAGTTTTGGATGCCATAGAAACCGCTGTGGAATCAAAGGTGAAAATACACAAGGGAATATGTAAATACTTAATAAAAAAAGGGGAGGTGGCAACAACTTCCGCAAAAAATTTGTTTTATATCATGACATTTATTTATACTTTGTCTGAACAGTACAGTTTCTTCTTAGCTCCCAAAATATTTATATGAGGACATTTATTTTACTTTGAACAGTACAGTGTCTTAAAAAACCTTACATTTTGTTGTCTGCTGAATTATCTCCATGTGAAATATTTAAAAGGCATCAGATATTAAAATAGGAGTCTAATTTATAAAATTGCAAATGTTATTTTTATCTTTGTTAACATTTATATTTTGGCAGATAGAGAAAGGTTACATCAGAATTGATGGAAAAACCACGCCAGAACAAAGAAACTTCTTCTGTAAGAAATTTCAGACAAAGGACTCAATTCGAGTAGCCATTTTGTCTATTTGTGCTGCCAATGCTGGTCTTAACCTGTCAGCTGCAAGTCTTGTGGTGTTTGGAGAACTTTTCTGGAACCCTGGGGTAAATTGTGCTATTTTATTATTTTAAGTCCAGCTGAATATGTTAAATGTCCATAAAACCCTTTTTTCTGTGAATTTGTTTAATTTTATGGTACAAAAATGGTGATCCTGGTTCAGCTAAGTGATTTCACAATATTAAATAAATCTATTTGACTAGAAAGATCTTATTGCATTATTAATTAACTGCATTTTAAAAATGCAATGGCATTCCATGTAATTCATTATGGTGAAACTTGTTTAATTAAGATGTTCTTGTCTATTACAATGTAAACTTTAAATACCCTTTAGTAAACTCTGACATTCTTTATGTTGTGTAATCTAGAATTTTGTTAAGTCTGGCAAATATCCATGGAAGCAATGATATCTAGATCATCTTACTGTATTAATATTGTTTGGGTCACAGATTTTGGTGCAGGCTGAGGACAGGGCACACAGGATGGGACAAAGAGACATGGTCAATGTCCACTATCTGGTGGCCAGGGGGACTGCTGATGACCACGTCTGGTAACTATTCATATAAAGCTTATCTTCCATCCCAGTAATTTATTCTTTGCAAAATTGGAATTGATATAAATATATAAAGTGTACCAGAATGTAAATGTATAAGCCCCCTAATTTTGTAATGGGTTTAAGGACTTACACTATTTCAAAATGAAATTTCAGAGCTCATTTAAGGGTTTATGTTTATTTATGCTTTACATTGACTTTGTTGGTGTACATACATGTGCAGTTTATTACTATCAGTGTTATGTGTGCATTACAAAAATGATTGTTATTTTTGGGAAGGGGGATATTGCTACTTGAGGTATGGTGTTCACAGAATCTGTTTCTTTTATTATTAGGCCACTTGTGCAAAAGAAATTAGAAGTGCTGAGCAAGGCAGGGCTCAGTAAAGAAGACTTCTCTGCTGCAGACACCAAACATATAACTGTAATAATTACATCAAATAATTACATAAAGCAAGCACTGTTATACTTTACATGTAATAACATTACATTAAAACTTTAACTGTATAAATAAGGAAAATTATAGTTGAAGTAAAACCTGAAAAAAAGCACCTGAGCTAACCATAACTTTGTTGAGAAAATGTTCTCTCATTTCTTGTGATTTAAATTTTGTCATGTTCTTGGTGTGTAAACACAGTTGGAATGTACATATTAATTTTGCAGGATTCCAAACAGACAGACTTGATGCAGTTCTTTGAGGAGAGTTTTATGGAGGAGAGTGTTCTGGAGACATCACTTGAAGAAGACAACCAATCAAAACCTGCGGATGAAAAATCATCCAATAAAAATCAAGAAACAAATCAGAAACTGACCAATCAAAACTCAAGAGACTCTAAATGTAGGTGAAAGTAATTCTAACTGTCGATTGGTAATGGTATTATTCTAATAAGATGTCAGACTGTCTGAACAAATTTTACATTTTTTGCACAGATCAACATTTTTAGGTCACCTGAGTAAACTCGGGTGACCTATTGCTATCCGTTTTCGTCTGTCGTCGTGCGTCGTGTGTTAACATTTGAACATTTTCAGCTTCTTCTCTGCAACCACTGAACCAATTTTAACCAAATTTGGCACAAAGCATCTATGGGTGAAGGGGGACAAAAATTGTGAATTTCATGATCTCTGCCCCCCTGGGGCCTGAGGGGTGGGGCCAAAACCACTAAAATTAATGCAATCTTTAAAAATCTTCTTCTTTACTCCTGGACATCAAGCAGTCAAACTATTTGCATACAGTACCGACCAGACCCAACCTGACACAAAGCAGTCCCAGAGCAGTCCCGGGGACTGCTTTCTGGGACTGCTAAAGCAGTCCCACAGCGGTCCCAGAGCAGTCCCACAGCGGTCCCAGGGCGGTCCCACAGCAGTCCCAGAGCGGTCCCAGCAGTCCCAGCGGTCCCAGAGAGCAGTCCCAGCAGTCCCAGAAAGCAGTCCCAGCAGTCCCAGTGGGCGGGGTTTATTAATTTAATGGGCGGAGCTAACTCAGAAATGAGATTTCCAATAAACAATGGAACTATAAAAGGCAATAGAAATTGATTCTGGGTAGTTGGCCAGGAATCCTTACATGTACGCGAAGGTCATTTATGAACAGAACATGTACGCGCATAAAAATTGAAATAATTTAATATTTATTGGAGGAAGAAGGCTTTCACATTTACATGTATATACATATCAATAACACTGAACATGAATATTTTACACAATTCTTTGGTATATTAATAATTCTTCTGTGATTGATACTTGTTCCCATATTAATTTTTTTATAAAGAAAATTAAACATGAATTAATTATTTTCCACCAGAAGAGGCTTTGAATAGATCTTATTATTATATGGCCAATTTTGACTTAGTATCGGGATATTTTAAAGTTAGAGTTTTCTTAAGTATTGGGGCTTTTAAAAAAATTCGATCTTTGCTAATTTTGCCAAGTATTATTTTTCAGTCATGATTATTTTACTGACATGTCAGTTTAATTATCATTAATGCCTAGTTCTATAAAATTCAGTTTTAGTGTTTTATTTGTAAATGTTAGAGTGTACATCTGTAAATCACCAGAATGGAAGCTTCAGATTATGTTCAAAATTAATTAATCCCGAAAGAAAATTATACACATTTCATTTATCACATTTTTTTCGCATTAGATAAATTGAAGTTAGGGTCATTGTTTACCAGCATGTTCAATGATGTGTAACACTGATACAAATACCCAAATCACATGTATCGATTTTTCTGCCCAAAGGCGATTGAAACAATGGGTGTTGATACCATCTTAGAACCATTAAATCGGCCAGGTAAACACTAGCAAAACAAAAGAGAAATAAATCACAATTCCCAGTATTTTCATTTTTATTTTAAAAATAAGTATACTCTTTTAATAACTTGTTTATTAATTAAAAGCTACCGGTTATTCATTAATTCCCTAATGATTATTCACATAGTTTATGTTACGGGAGAAAGGTAGAATAATTTTATTTCATGGTCATTTAATAAATTATTGGGTTTTCTTTGAGGTTTACATGGAATACTCTTTTTTTAGCGTGGTCCTTATAAAATGTGTAGCATTTTTAAAAAATCTTATATCTAACTGTAATGATTATTTTTTTATAGTACCAATGCAAATTTTGAGTACGTATTAAAATTTAACATTAAATAATTAAAAAAGGCCCACATGTAGCTATTTCTTCTCATGAACTTGTAGTTTATATTTAGGGATAAAAATTTTCTCATGAATTCCTTATTTATCAACTTTATTTTTTTTTTGATTTATTCTTAGTACACATTAATTTGTGTACCGTAAGTATACAGTCCCTGAAAATATGAATTAACTGTAATAATCTCTACTTATTAAAAGAATGTAAGAAATCCTTGCTTATTAATTAAAACAGTTTAAACTCCTCTCTGCTGCAAGTAAACAAAACAACAGGCAGCCTGCAAATTCAGAATACACAAGGGGCGGAGCTATCATGTCACTCAGAACCTTTTTCACACATGAGTGAACAAAGCAGTCCCAGAAAGCAGTCCCAGGGGCAGCTGGGACTGCTGGGACTGCTTTTCATAGCAGTCCCAGAGCAGTCCCATAGCGGTCCCAGAGCAGTCCCACAGCAGTCCCAGAGCGGTCCCAAAGCAGTCCCGGGGACTGCTTTCTGGGACTGCTTTGGTGTCAGGTTGGGTCTGGTCGGTACTGTATTTGTAATCAGCATTGAGTCCTCTACCGAAATTGTGAAATTCATGACCCTGGGGTCAGGGGTTCTAGTGCTAGGGCGGGGCTAAATAAGTATATAGTGAAAATGCATTATTTCTTTGAAAATCTTCTCTGCTCCTGGATATTAAAAAAACCAACTAAGTACATAGTTATGATGAGCAAGAGTGCCTCTACCAAATTGTGAATTTTATGGCCCCAGGGTCAGGGGTTCTGGTGTTAGGGTGGGGCTCTATTGATTATATAGTAAAAATACATGATTTCTTTGAAAATCTTCTTCTCTGCCCCTGGGTATTAAATAAACCAAGTAAGTAAATAGTTATGATGAGCAAGAGTGCCTCTACCAAAATTGTGAATTTTATGGCCCCAGGGTCAAGGGTTCTGGTGTTGGGGGAGGGGGCTCTATTGATTATATAGTGAAATTACATGAATTCTTTGAAAATCTTCTCTGCTCCTAGATATTAAATAAACTAACTAAGTGCATAGTTATGATGAGCAAGAGTGCCTCTACAAAAATTGTGAATTTTATGTCCCCAGCATCAATGGTTCTGGTGGGGAGGGGGGGAGGACTTTATTGTTCATAAAGTGAAAATACATGAATTCTTTGAAAATCTTCTTCTCTGCTCCTAGGTATTAAATAAAATAACTAAGTACATAGTTATGATAAGCAAGTGTTCCTCAACCAAGATTGTGAATTTGATGGCCCCAGGGTCAAGGGTTCTGGTGTGGGGGGGGGGAGGGGCTCTATTGATTATATAGTGAAAATATGTGAATTCCTTGAAAATCTTCTTCTCTGCTCCTAGGTATTATATAAACTAACTAAGTGCATAGTTATGATGAGCAAGTGTGCCTCAACCAAAATTGTGAATTTAATGGCCCTATCATCAAGGGTTCTGGTGTTGGGGGGGGGCTCTATTGAATATATAGTGAAATTACATGAATTCTTTGAAAATCTTCTTCTCTGCTCCTAGGTATTAAATAAATTAACTAAGTGCATAGTGATGATGAGCAAGAGTGCCTCAACCAAAATTGTGAATTTTATGGCCCCAGGGTCAAGGGTTCTGGTGTTGGGGGGGGGGGGGGGCTCTATTGATCATATGGTGAAAATACATGAATTCTTTGAAAATCTTCTTCTCTGCTCCTAGGTATTAAATAAACTAACTAAGTGCATAGTTATGATGAGCAAGAGTGCCTCTACAAAAATTGTGAATTTTATGGCCCCAGCGTCAATGTTTCTGGTGCGGGGGGGGGGGGGGGGGGGGGGGGGGGCTTTATTGATTATAAAGTGAAAATACATAAATTCTTTGAAAATCTTCTTCTCTGCTCCTAGGTATTAAATAAACTAAGTAAGTGCATAGTTATGATGAGCAAGAATGCCTCTTCTAAAATTATGAATTTCATTGCCCCAGGGTCTGGGGTTCTGGTGTTAGGGTGGGGCTCTATTGATTATATAGTGAAAATACATTAAATATTTGAAAATTTTATTGTCTGTCTCTGGGTATGAAGCAGATGAACTACCTATATAGTTATGATGAGCAAGGGCCCTAATCTTGCAGAATTGTGAATTTCAAGGCCCCAGGGTCAGGGGTGGGGTGGGGGGGGGGCTCTACTTATATACTGAAAATGAATTAATTGTTTGAAATCTGGTCCTTTGTATTTATAAAACATTTATTTACTTTTTGATAGGCAATTTTAAGGGTGCCTTTTAAAAATTTGTGCAACCTAGGGTCAGGGGTTTATGTCAGAGTGTTAGGGGCACTACTGATTATTGATGAATATTACTGATTAGTTGGAGTGCATTTTTGTTCCCCTACCCTGCGTATGGGTATTTAGTAACCAAGCTAAGCAACTGCTAAGTTTATTGTTATGATGATCAATGGTGCCCTTTCAAAATTGTGAATGCCATATAGCATCTGGCTTAAAACATGAATCAAATTCAGTACACTGTAACTGGAAAGTTGTTGCATTATGCTCAGGTGACCTATAAGGCCCGTGGGCCTCTTGTTAAGATAAAGCTACTCTGCAGTTAATTTTATTTTGCAGTTTTTTTTTCTCACTTTCCAAAAAACAAAATTGTGGAAATTCATTATATTAGATAAAAAAATGTTTTGTTCTTGAATTATTTGAATGTTTTTTTTTCAGTGTCAGTTAAGCCAGTGAAGCCCAAATCAGAGCAGTCCTTATTTAATTACTTTGGTGCTAAAAAAGACAGTTCAGATTCCAAACCAGGAACGTCTTCTGTTTCTAAGGACTCTGTGATAGACAATATTGAAGACGATCTTTTATTTGATGATGATGAATGGTTAGAGGAAATGGATGAACCCAAAAATAAGAAATTAAAATGTTGACCTGGGAAGGTGTTGTGAATAAAAGTTAATGCATGTCATTTTCATTTGTATTTATGCATTTAAAGATCACATGGCTATCAAATTTATTACAGTTCTTTCTTATATATTTAAATTTTAACAGTGTTAACTTATTCAGAAACGCAGTGCATTTTTTTTTTAAGTCACCTCAGTAAACTCAGGTGACCTATTGCTCTCGGTTTTCGTCCGTCGTCGTGCGTCGTATGTCGTGTGTTAACATTTGAACATTTTCAGCTTCTTCTCTGAAACCACTGAACCTATTTCAACCAATTTTGGCATACAGCATCTATGGGTGAAGGGGAACAAAAATTTTGAATTTCATGGTCCCTACCCCCCTGGGGCCTTGGGGGTGGGGCCAAAACCACTAAAATTAATGCAATCTTTAAAAATCTTCTTCTTTACTCCTGGACATCAAGCAGTCAAACTGTTGGTATGACTGTAATCAGTATTGAGTCCTCTACCAAATTTGTGAAATTCATGGCCCCAGGGTCGGGGTTCTAGTGCTAGGGCAGGGCTCTATTGATTATATAGTGAAATTGCATTAATTCTTTGAAAATCTTCTTCTCTGCTCCTGGGTATCAAATAAACAAACTAAGTACATAGTTATGATGAGCAAGAGTGCAGAGCTGTTTACTCTTACGATTTCGCCGTATTTTTTACGGGTATATAATCGAAAATACGTCTCACGTTTTGCTGTTATGAAAATACGGAAATACGTTTGTTTGGGATATAGCAGTTAGTTTTCATTATGATCTGTTGAAATATGGCTGATAGAATGTCGACTTTGCTGAAATCAACAACAATCATTGACAATCAATCGTTATGATCTGGTCGCTCGCGTGGCGCATTGGTTAGAGTACCTGCCCAGTAAGGACTTGCTCCTTACGTCGAGGGTTCGATTCCTACTTGTGCGACCTGGATACCGGTCCTTCAGATCAGACCATATCATCCGCAGTAGGTGCTAGCACGAAACAGACCCTTCCCTGCTCGATGGCCTTAAGTACTGCGTTATGTACAAAATTTGCAGCTCCACCGGCAGGTGGTTAAAAAAATCTTGAGAAAGTCATTATACAATTAATCAATCATCGTTTTGATCTGTCTCAGTTTCACGCCTTTTACATGTTATCACAACAAAAAAAATTTCAAGCACATCAGTGATTTTGAGTTGTTAAACATATTGTGGTTTAAAAATGACAAAGAACATGTTATTTAACCATGTTCAAGTTATCAACAAGCAGTCGTTTTCTATTTATATACGTAAAACCAATGGACAACGAAATCTTACTGGCAAATGTTAAATCTCACGGACAAATCTAATCAAAAATACTGAGAGACGACGATAAGGGTAAACAGGTCTGAGAGTGCCTCTTTCAGATTTGTGAATTTTATGGCCCCAGGGTCAGGGGTTCTGATGTTAGGGCAAGCTCTATTAATTATATAGTGAAAATGCATTAATTCTTTGAAAATCTTCTTCTCTGCTCCTGGTCATCAAATAAACAAACTAAGTACATAGTTATGATAAGCAACAATGCCTCATCCAGAATTGTGAATTTTATGGCCCCAGGGTCAGGGGTTCTAGTGCTGGGGCGGAGCTCTATTGATTATATAATGAAAATACATAAATTCTTGGAAAATCTTTTCCTCTGCTCCTGGGTATCAAATAAACAAACTAAGTACATAGTTATGATGAGCAAGAGTGCCTCATTCAGATTTGTGAATTTTATGGCCCCAGGGTCAGCGGTTCTAGTGCTAGGGTGGGGCTCTATTAATTATATAGTGAAATTGCATTAATTCTTTTAAAATCTTCTTCTCTGTTCCTGTGTATTAAATAAACTAACTTAGTACATAGTTATGATGACGAAGAGTGCCTCTTTCACAATTTTGAATTTTATGGCCCCAGGGTCGAGGTTCTGGTGTTAAGGCTGAGCTCTATTGGTTATATTATGAAAATGCATTTATTCTTTAAAAATCTTCTTTTCTGCTTCTGGATATTAAATAAACAACATAAAGTACATAGTTATGATGAGCAAGAATGGCGCCTCAACCAAATTTGTGAATTTTTACGTCCCCTGTGTCAGTGGTTTTGCCATTTGCTTTAGGGAAGGGGGGGGGGGGGCTCTTTTGATTATATAGTGAAAATACATTAATTCTTTGAAAATCTTTTCTTTTGCCCCAGGGTATTAAATTATGCCAATGATCTAAGTATAAGTTGTATGTATATATTTTTGATGAAAAAAGGTGCATCTAGCAAAACGGTTAGTTTCATGCCCCCCCCCCCCCCTGGGTCAGGGGTATGGGGGGTTTACATAGTCTGAAAATAAATTAATGCTTTAAAATCTGCTTTTTAGTATTAATCAACTATTTATTATGAAATAAAATTTATGATAAAATTTCCAACATTTTGAAATAAATGGCCCCAGGGTTAGTGGTTCTTTTGGGATGAGGTGCATAACTGGTTATAAAGTGAAAATGATTTTCTCTTTGTTACTCTGATCTACGTCTGGGTATTAAGTAACTAGAAAAAGCATGCTAAGTTATAATTATGATAAGCAATAGTGCCTTTTTCAAAATTATGAATTTCATGGCCTCTGGTTTAAAACACGAAATAAATTCAATTGTCAAAAGTTGTTACATGATCCTCAGGTGACCTATAAGGCCCGTGGGCCTCTTGTCTTTCAAAATTGGCAGAGGGTATTTCTTGAGTATAAAGGATACATTTTAACAAACTTAAAAACAGACATGGAAAAAATATTCTGGCCTCCTCTCCAAATGTATTATATTTTCTATTTGGGGTTTATTTATGTTTTAAGTGCAGTGAGTGCTTATCATCCATAGATGTGTCTTGACTTTGAACCAAGGTCATTCTGAAAAGTTGAAGGTCACTTGCAGAAAAAGAAAAAAAATTTTATCTGAAGAATCATTAGCAGCTCATACTTGGACAGATATTACAGTGAAAACTGTCTAATCCGACACCTGAATAATCCGACACACTGTGAATTCCCATTCTAGTATTTTCCTTGTTTTTAACACTGTGCAATCTGACACCCTGTCTATTCTGACACAAAATTTGTCTCCCGGTGCATGTCGGATTAGACAGGTTTCACTGTAATTGCTTTTTACACTGGAGTAAGCCATGACCTTCACCCAAGGTATTCCTAAAGTTCAAATTCACTGACAGAAAAGCAAAAAAAAAAAAAAACCATTGTCTGGACTTTCACCTTGTACAGGGATTTGTCATGATTTAATCCAAGATCATTCAAGCAAGGTCAAGTTCATGAAAGATAAACTGAATATAATTATACGCCCGTCTTCAGACAGGACGTATTATGTTATAGGCTTCGTGTCCGTCCGTCTGTCCGTCTGTTAGCTTTTTCGTTTCCGGCTCATAACTTTAATACTATTAGGCCTAGGATTATCAAACTTTGTCATCTGATGCGTCTTGGGTAGAAGGTGTGTCGCGCACAAAAAGTAGGTCGCTCTGACCTTTAATTAAGAAGTTATAGCCAAATATGGAAAAATCCTTTCCGGCCCATAACTAGAAAACTATTAGACTCAGAGTCATCAAACTTGGCCAGTTTATGCATCTTAGGTAGAAGGTGTGTCGCGGCCTATTTCAAGGTCACTGTGACCTTTAGTTTAAGTGATTTTTTTAAAAAAACTAAGTCTTTAAAATTTTAAATTTCATAATCCTAAAAAATGTAAAAATATAGTTGTATCCTTGTTTAAAAATGTTAAATCAAGTAAAAACTTATTTTTTCATTATATGCTTTACAGCAATCTTAACAAATGTTAATGTTTTGAGAGGAATTCAGTTTGTCCCATGGGCATAATTATCAAGCACTGGTCAAGAAGAATTTTGATAGCAGAAATTTGCATGTCAAATTAGAGAGAAATTAATGAGTTTATTGTCAGGAGCTAACTGGTAGTCTAAGAGCATCTCTGATCATGCAGCTGTCATCTTAATTTATCTCTTGGGAGTTGGGCAAAAAGAAATGGCCTCATAGTTGCTTGTGTTAATTAAGAGTTCTTGATGGCTATAGTCCAGATAAAGATCTTTCAATTGGTGTAATGTAATTAAAACAAATTGATGTTTAATGTATGATTAAAACTAAATTAGTATTGTATAATATAATGAAAACTAATTATACATGTGTTCATTGAAATAAAATTACCGGGGTACATTTCAATTTTTATATATTTGCAACAAATTGCAGTCACCATGCCTCACTTAGAATTTTATAGTCTAAAGAATAATTTATTTTTGATTTTTTTTATTAGACTGTAGCATTTCCATTATTCCATTAAATATGCAATAAACAATTTAAGCTGCAGATGGATATTTGTTAAGTTCTAACACAGCCAGTTTAGAATTATATGTATTATTTGTTATAATTAATCCCTACACTGTAAGTTTCTTAGGGATGTATGTACAATATTTTAAACATGATAAGAAATGGAAATTAGATCATTGAAATCTGTGTCAGTCTGTTAATCAAGGTTATCTGATTTTCTTGCACCCCAACCAATTTATGATTATTGAACAATATATTTGACGGGCGTATCATGCTGTGGCGGGGCACTTTATTCTTTTCTGTTGTAACTTTGCAATTGAAAATCATTGGAAGCCTGAAGTTGGGAGACAGATCATTTATGACCTTAAGTATACCATGAACTCATGGCCTTGACCAGGTCATTCCAGCAAGTTCAAGGTCTTTGGTATTAAAAGTGTAAAATTCATAAAAGGCTCATTTTCTAGAAAAGTACAAGTTTATCTACACAAAGTTCAAACCCGTTTTTTCTCTCCATTGACAGGTTTTCTTTTGTGTTGATTAGAATGGGAATTAATTAATTGTTTGTGGTGTGACCAGAGACATATGAATTAATCATATTGAATGTTATTAATTTTTCCTTCCAATAAATGCAATAATCATATTGAATGTTATTGATTTTTCCTTCCAATAAATGCAATAATTTCCATTAAGCCTGAACATTGCAGTGAATTATGCACTATTAAGGGTTAAACGCGTACATGTACGCGGGGTGTAAAACTAATTATTGGAAGTATTTCATAATTAAAAAAAAAACGAATT